AGCTTGTCAGGTTCCAAACCGTCTCAGATATTGATTTGAATCACATGTGATCTATACTGCAATCTGGGGAGAATTAACACCTTCCGGGCGGGGGGGGGGTGGCTCGGTGGGAGAGTGCTCACCTTCACGGAGGAGACCCAGGTTCTAGGGGCCCCACCCGCGTGTCTGTGGAGGCTGTGTGTTGCTCGGTTGCGGAACAGGTGTCAGCTTCCAGACTGAGAGGGACTAGGAAGGGAGGTGGAATCATAATGGATTTGTGGAGCAGGTAGCACACACCCTAGTTTGTAGTCTATAAAATTCAATGGATTTTTTATATGTTGTCTGTAAATCCAGTGTTCTTGGTGAATTCACTTCTTAATGCATTCCCTAGGACTTTCAGTGCATTGCTTAACAGAAATGGTGACAGCTAACATGCTTGCCTTGTTCCCTGTCTCAGAACCAGTGTGACATTTCACCCGTGAGTGTGACGTTTGCTTTGGGTTGCTGCTTTTTGTGTGTATGTGACAGAGCTTCCTTCCAGTTTACTAAGAGTTGTGTTTTTGATTGTGAGTGGGTCTTGGATCTTATCGAATGGTTTTCCGTGTCTTTTGAATTGATTACATGTCTGTTTACTTATTCTGTTGATGTGGTGAACTTTGTTCATTGATTTTCAAATGTTAAACTAATCTTGCATAACTAGATTAAACTACACTTGACCATAAGTCTTCAGAAATAACAGTGGGTCCAATCTGCTGGCATTCTGTTGAGGGTATGTGGAACTCTGTGCATTGCAGACGTGAGCCTGTAATTATCCTGTTATGAAATATCCTTTGTCAAGTTTTGGTGTCAGGGTTATGCTGCCTCTTAAAATGGGTTGAGAAGTGTTCCCCCTTCTTAGTTTTTAAAAGGATTTGTATGAAATTGGTGTTACTGCTTTCTCCAATGTTTGTAAGCATTTTCTGATAAAAACCATCTAGGCTTAGCATTTTCTTGGTGGAAGTTCTTTAAAATTCCAAATGTAGTAAATAAGTGTCAGGCCATTCATGGTTTCCATTTCTTCTTGTGTCAGTTTTCATGCATTGTGTTTTTAAGGAATGGGTCTGTTGGTATCTAAATTGTGGTGGGATCTATGTCAAGGTGTTAATGCCTCTACGAGCAGTAGTGACGTTCTGGTTTTAATTCCTGGCCTTGGGCGTTTGTGCCTTCCTCATCTTCCCTCCCTTTGTCTATCCCCATCCCCCCAATCTTACTAAAAGTTTATCAATTTTATTAGTCTCTTCAGAGAACTCAATTTTGGCTTCGTTGACTTTACCTGCTGGATGTGTGGTTTTCATTTCATTGAGTTAAGCTCTCATCTTCCTTGTCTCATCCTGTTGACCTTCTTGGGGTTTAATCTACTGTTTTTCTAACTTCTTGAGACAGAGTTCTGGGGGCAAAACGTTTGAAACAATGTCCCGTGAACATACACTTCACTAAAGAAGCTATAGAGGCGGCCAACAAACACGTCAGGAGATGCTCACGGTCATCAGCCATCAGAGAAATGCAAATCAAAACAACAGTGAGATACCATCTGGCCCAGCACAGACAGCAGAATTCAACAAGACAGAAAATAACAAGTGCTGCTGAGGATGTGGAGAGATTGGGACTCTCATACGGCGCCGTGGGAATGTAAAATGATACAACAACTGTGGAAAATGGTGTGGTGTTTCCTGAAAATAGAGATACCATTTGATCCAGCAATTCCATTACCAGGAATATACCCTAAAGAAGTGAGAGACAGGACACGAACAAACATACACACAGCCATGTTCGTTGCAGCACAATTCACTATAGCAAAAGGATAGAAACAACCTGAACGCCCATCAACAGATGAATCGATAACCAAACTATGATACATTCATACACTGGAATACTATGCTACATTACAGAGTAATGAAGAATACACGGCGCATCTCACAATGCGATGAGCCTGGAGGCCATTATGCTGAGTGACATAAGTCAATCACAGAAAGACAAATATTGTATGAGCCCATTATTGTAAAAACTCAGGAAAGGTTTACTCAGGGAAGGAAATTCACTTTATTGGTTACTGGGGGTGGAGGAGGTGGGGGAAAGGAGAGGGAAAATTTTGTACTAGTTGGGGGTCACGTTGATTTGGATGAGGGGAAGTGTAGTATGGAAAGAGTCTATGACCAGCATGGTGACATTGGGGAAAGAGAGGACACAAATGTGCACAAAAGATACAGACAACAGAGGCAAATACTATTCATGCACAATACTTACTGCATTACCACTGGCACCAAACATTGGGCAATGGGTAGATGCATAGACAATGAGAAGAGCAGGTGGGGATCGGTGAACAGGAATATACCCAAGACTAAGGATAGATTTGGCTGAAGATAGTCTTACATATGCACTTGTGCTACAAAATTAGCCACATACATGACAGAAGCAACAGAGGCTAAGGTTGGAGCAGGTTCTCAGAGACAACCACACACCTTGAAAGAGAGAATCACTGGGTCTGCAGGCTCAGGACCATAGACTGGAAGGACATCACACTCAATTGGCACAACACAGTCACAGACACCTCATTCAACATCCTATTTTGATGAGTAGTGACTGGGGTCTTAGAAGCTGTCGAGCAGCCGTCTATTGGTCTCCTCTCCTCTGGAGCTAAGAAGAGTGAAGAAAATCAAAGTCATCTGGAAACAATTAGACCAAGGATAAGATGGACCACGAGGACCTCAGCCTTCACTTCCCCAAGACCAGAAGAACTAGATAGTGCCTGGCTACCAATGCCAACCACTGGGAACAGGATAAAAATTGGAGATCCTGGATAGAGTGGGAGGAAAAATATGAAACTAAATTCAAAACACAAAAATGACCAGAATTATTCATTGGATAGAGTCTTCTGGAACCCCTAAGATTGTGGCCCCAGGTTACCCTTTGGGCCTAGAAATGGACTCTCTTCTGTGGATTAGCTCTCAGCCCAACAGTAGAAAGACCTACATGCAGAAGCTACCCCAGGGTGATGCACCCCGTAGCGCAACCAGCCAGGAGACATCAGAGGGGCAGCATTCACATAGAGGGAAAGCTGGACAGACAGGAATGTATAGATAAGAAGGGCACAGGGAGGGGGTACTCACAGGGGGGAGAGGAGAGGAGAGTTTTTATGGTTGGGGATGGTAATTGGGGCCATGAAATCAAATGTGCATGAACTGTTGAATGTAAAACAAATCTGATTTGCAGATGTGTACCCAAAGCACAATAAAAAAATACATATATGTATTAATAATAGGAAAAAAAATAAAGTCAAATTAAAACTGCAAACATAAATAATCTAGAACTTAAAAAATGAAATCCATCAATCACTGTCCTGGCCGTGTCGGTTCCCTCCTGGTCTGTGGACCCAGGTGCCCCAGTTCTGTGATTCTCTCATGATCTCGGCCCCACACCCCCACACCCCGACACCCCGCCGTGTGCATGTATCTCTGTCTGTGCTGTTCTTTCTGGGACTCCAGAGTGACGAGGTCCTGTGGCTTGACCCACCCTACCTTGGCGTGACCTCAACTGATTACGTTACATCACATTCGATTACATCACAGGCACTCACTCACTGCTGTCCAGTCGTCTCCGATTCGTAGCGACCTCGTCTTGGGTTTCCGAGGCAGTATCACTGTGGAAGTAGACCACCCAACCTTCCGAGGAGTGGCTGGTGGGTCTGAACCGCTAGGTTTCTGGTTAACAGTCAGATGCCTTAGGCACTGCGCCACCAGAGCTCCCATCACAGGTACAGGGATTAGGGTTCCAACATGTATTGGGGGAGGAGGGGACACAGCTTAATGCAGAACACACACTCTTAGGCCTGTTTCTATGGTCTGTTTTTTCCCCTGATTTTCAGTCTTCTCTGCGTGAGGAATGCAGAGACTCAAGGATGCTCTCCCCTTCCCGATGATCTCATTTTCTTCTGCAGGGTAGGTGGGTAAGGAGGGCACCATGCCCCATTTGGAGCGTGACATAGTTCAGGGTTTGCAGGTCTCAGCTTCAGGGGTGAGGTGTCCACCACAGCTCCTCCTCCTTGGTTGGTCATGACCCCCAATTCTTGTCCCTCCAGTGACATAAGCCCACTGAAGTCTCTCCTTAGTTCTTCTTCTCTTGTGAGTTACCATTCCGTTGGCTCCTGACTCACGGTGACTCCACGTACCATGGAGAGAAACGCTGCTTGTTCCTCCGCCATCTCTACCACTGGTTACGGGCTGGGCTGTTGGGATCATTGGGGCCTCACGGGCTGATTTTCCGAAGTCGGTCACCGGCCTGTCTTCCTAGTCTGTCTCAGTCTGAAGCTCTGCTGGAACCTGCTGAGCATCCTGACAGCACGCAGGCCTCCACTGACAGACAGGTGCTGGCTGTACATGCCGTGCTCTGTCTGGGACCTGAACCCAGGTCCCACATGGAAGGCGAGGATTCTGCCACTCAACCCCACTGCCCCTCTTAGCTCCACCCCACACTGATGCAGCTTGGGAATGATGCCCCCAGGACAGACCGCACGGGAAGAGTTCCCTTCTCTGTGGTTTCCTTTGCGCCAGGCTCTTGTCCCCGAGTCCTGGACCTGGTGTTCCTATTCAGCCTCTATTCCCCACACGGTGAAGGGACAGACGCTCGAGGGCAGGCAGCCTCAAGTGTCGGGCTCCCTTGGTCTGGTCCCTTCCTCCTGGGTCTTGGCCCTTTGCGTCTCTGTGACTCTGCAAAGAGTTGTTGTGTGGTTGTGGCTTCTGCTCCAGCTGTGACAGGGACCTCAGCAGAAGGTTTAGTCAGATGCAGCAATGCAGCGAGTTCAAAGCCCCTCACCTGGCCTCTCCTGGGCCCTGCCCTGGGAGGCAGTCTTGAAGGTCTTGGTCCCTCAAGGTTGCGTTTTGCCTTGTTTCTGAAGGGCCTCGGCCCCCATGTGACAGAGGGCACGGGAAGGGCCAGGCACAGGATTGCCAGCATGGTGGCCGCTCACAGCCCCTCTCTCCACGCAGGCTCCGGGAGCACCATCGGGTCACCATCAAGGTCATCCGACGCATGCAGTACTTCGTGGCCAAAAGAAAGTTCCAGGTGAGTGAGTGACACGCCTCCTGTCGTGAGTGGGGCAGGGGGCGGAGCTGGGGATGGGGGGGGCACTGCTTGTGGGGGAGGATGGAGCCCCGCAGCACGTCGGGGGGTCGGGGATTGGAACCCCACATTACTGCGTGGGAAGGGGACGGGGGCGGAGCTCTGCAGCACGTCATAGGGCGGAGATCGCTCCTGGGAGCCTCCAGTTTGCCCTTGTGGGGGACAGTAGCTTACTGGCAAGGGCAGGACTGGGGCTGCGTCCAACCTCACCAGCAGGCTCTGAGGGAGCTAGGGCCTGTCAGGGCCCCCTGTGGTGAAGGAGGTCAGCTCCACCCAGCCTGGGACCCAGGGCCCCTGCCCGGGGCCTTGAGGGGGTGGGGGCTACCAGTGAGGGCCCCACCTGCCTGGTGTCTGCTAGGGACAGAAGTCCCCAGACCCTGGGGACCCAGCCCCTGGGGGGAGGAGACTTTCGCCAGGTCCCTGTGAGCCCAGCCAAGCTGGTGAGGACTGGGTGGGTGGCTGGAAGGAGAGGCGTCGACCATGCGTGGACAGAGGCCCGGAGGGTTCCGCTGCCAGGCCCCTGAGCCAGGCAGGCTGAGTACGCAGACCCCGCGAGGCGGCCGCTCTGTGCTCGGGCTCAGCCCTCTTTCCGCTGCAGCAAGCGCGGAAGCCGTACGACGTGCGAGACGTCATCGAGCAGTACTCGCAGGGCCACCTCAACCTCATGGTTCGCATTAAGGAGCTGCAGAGAAGGTGGGCGAGGCCAGGGCCACAGGCCAGGGCTCCAGTACGAGGGGTGTGGGGCGGGCGGGCAGGGGGTCATGACGGGGCAGCAGCATGGGGCACGGGTACACAGGCACCCAGTGGGGTGCACCGGCACAAAGGGGGCAGGGCCGGGGAACCCACGCCTGTGAGTGTCTCTCTTCCTCCCATACCCCCAAGGACAGCTGCAGGGTGGGAGCTGCCCTCTGGGCTCCTCTGGGAGACCTCGGCCCTCCCCCATTTCCACTCAGCCTGGTCCCCACCCTGCCCCTGAGTCCCTGCCAGTCCCCATCTTGGAGCCCCTCCCCACTCCTGGGGAGCACAGGCCCTTCCCAGGTGAGGGATGTTGCTGTGGGCCAGCAGCTGAGCCGTCTCCTCACCCCACCCCCGCAGGCTGGACCAGTCCGTCGGGAAGCCCTCCCTGTTCATCTCCGTCTCAGGTGCGTCTCCCACCTGCCCTGTCCTGGACTCTTCACCCACCTCCCTGGCTCCTCCCCACCTCCAGCAAGTTCCTGGGTGGAGGGGGTGCCAGGAGTGGGGCTGGGGGTCCCTAGCCAATGACCAAAGGCACATTATGGGGGCTTTCCCTGGGCTCAGGTGTATGAGAAGAGAGAAGCCCACAGCAGGTGGACGCTGGGACCTGGTGTCCAGTTCTCCAGCTCTGAGGCCACTTTTCATGTCCTCTAGACCTGGAGCTGTCTCGCCTCGCCAGGAGAGGACAGGGTTAGGGCCTTTTCCCTGGGGTTAGGCTAACCCAGCACAAGTTCAAGTGGCAACCGCATCTCATGTCAGGGACAGCTGGGGCGGCAGGCATTCCCCGGGTCACGGTGAGGCTAGTGCGGCCTGGGAGGCGCAATCATAGTGGATTTGTGGAGCAGGTAGCACACAGCACCCCAGGGCATCCCCTGGGTGGGGGGGGGGGTCCCTGTGGCCCTACAGTGGGTTCTCAGAGGTCATCGAGCTGGGAAGGGTAGTGCCACGTCTGCAGCTGCCACGGGTCACACCCTGCCCGCTCCACCCCCCCCCTACTTTCAAAAGTTCTCACTGCACACACAGTTTTAGAATAGGCCCACCTAGGTTCCAACCTGTGGACTCTCAGCCACCTCTTTGCCTGTGTTCTTGTGCACTGCCAGCAAACAGGCCCCTGAGTCAATGCTTTGCCCACAGAAAAGAACAAAGACCGCGGCAACAACACGATCGGCGCCCGCCTAAATCGGGTGGAAGACAAGGTACGTGCAAGCGTCTGGCACTGTCAGCTCTAGCGGGCAGCCGAGCATGGCTCCTGGGGGTCACTGCTGTTGGGGTCCACACACACCAGCATCCGCCTTTCCTGGCTGTGTCCTGAGTGTACATGTGAGACTTGGTTGGTGCCCATACAGGGGCCTCTGTCTTTCCTTCCCTCCTCTATCCTCCCTCCCTCCACGCTCAGCGTGGCCTCCACTGTGCCAGGCTATCCCTGGGATGAGGTTCACCTAGCTGGACCTGGTCCCCATAGGAGAAGGTGCCAGAGCCCTGTGTGTGCCAGACCTCTGACAAGTGCCCACAAGCCCCTTCCAGGAGGTGCCAAGAACCACCTGGCACAGAGTGAGCAGTGTACTCCGCGGCCAGCCCCCGGCCCTGACCCCCCGCTTGTGCCAGGTACTGGCTGTGGGAAATAGTGCTTGAGGCAGCATGCAGGAGCGTGTGCAGGGCAGTGAGCAGGGGTGCACCAGGCTCTGTGCAGGGCAGCGTGTGGGGTAGCGTGCAGGGGCACACTGGGCAACGTGCAGAGCAGTGTGCCAGGCAGTGTCCGGGGCAGAGCACGGGGTGCACCAGGCGGCGTGCAGGCCAGCGTGCAGGGGTGTGCTGGGCAGCGGGTAGGGGTGTGCCAAGGCGCGTTCAGGAGTGTGCCGGGCAGGAGGAGGGCTGTGGCTGGTGGGGTTGTGGGGCCTGGCCTGCGGCTATCACTTCTTGAGGTCCTGTCTGTGCCAGTGTGGGAAGTTAGGCCATCGGAGCAGGCTGTACGGAGCCGGGCCTACATCCCGGCCCCACCCTATGCCCAGCTGGTCTAGGCCTTCACTCCGGACAGGCCCTGGGTGCAGGGAGACTCACAACCCATGCAACAGATTCGTGGGAGGAGGTGGAGGTTTTCACAGAGTCTGGACCAAACGTGGCTGGGGGTCCGCTCAGGAGGATGGGTGGGATGTCCTGGCCGGGTGGGGCGCGGGCCCTCTGCCACCGTTCTCTCTGGGTTGGGTGCAGCCCCTCTCCCACTATCCTGTCTGGTTTTGGCTGCCCATGCCCCCTCTGCTCCAGGAGGACCCCTCTGCCCACACTGGCCAGGCCGCCGGCACCCACCACTGGCCCCCCTGCCCCGGACCCCTGCCCAGCTTCTCCTGAGCAGCCGTGGGGAGGCCTGGGGTCTGGGAGGCCCCTTCTCAGGCCCACTGGGCACTGCTGTCTTTGAAGTCTCCAGGGCCTGGAACGGGCGTTATCTCACCAAACAGCGAGTCTGTCTACACAGTTTATCTGGAAGTAGCCGAGAGGCTAAAAATAGAGGGATTCGGCTGGGCCCAGAGCGCGGCTGCCCTCGGTAGTCCAGGCAACGCCTGGCTCTGGTCCACGCCCAGCCCCGCCACCGCCGGGTGGGCGGGAACGAGCCATGGACAGCCTGCTTCGGGACAGCCAGCTCCAGGCCCGCCCACCCCATCCTGGGTCCCAGGACTGAAGGGCCGCTTTCTCCCTCCTGGCCCAATCTGCCCTCGCCTGGGGCAGCTGTGGGGCTGCGAGACCAAGACCCAAGGGCAATAGGGAAGGGGCCTGTGTCCAAGTGCCTGCTGGCCCTTACTCCGGCCCGCCGGCTGGAGCTGTATGAACCCACCTCAGGGCCTGGCCTCACTCTGTCTGTCGGCACAGGGCTGGCGCCATGCCCGAGGACAGGCACGCCTTCCCTGGGGACCGTCCCTGCCTGCCAGATGGATGTGAGACCCGGGAGCGCACACAGGGCCGCGGGCTCGGCACTGCAGGCTCGGGACGGGGTTTCCCTCTTCTTGATCAGGGCATGGTGACTCAGGGTTCCCACACTCCGAGAGAGAGGCCCAGGGGCTGGGTACCGGGTGCAGATGGCGGGGCCAGGCGTTCCAACATCAAAGGGAGTGGACATAGAGCCGGGACCACACCCTAGTCCTCGGCTTGCTCTCCCCACCCGGTCCCGTGAACACCCTGACAAAGGCACTGCTGAAAGGCCGCCTCCAGGGGCCGGTGACCTGGCAGGCTTTCCCAGGCCACTCAAGCCTTTTACCGTGCCCCTCCACACACCCTCTGGGTGGCCTCACCCCCGCCACTTCCGGATGAGCTGTGCCGGGCCTAGCTTTCGCTTACCGTTCCCTGCCCTGTCCTCAGCCTGGCTGCAGCTCTGCCCACTGCCGTAAGGGACAGGTCACCCTGTAAGCCCAAATCAAAGCTGGTGTCCTTTGGGGTTAACAGTGGAGCAGAGTCTCCCCCAGGCTTGCCATGCAGCCCCGGGCAGCCTGCTGAAATTGGAGGAGGACACAGCCTTGGGTTCACTCTGGCCAGTGGGCTGGGGGAACGGCTGGCACTGGCCTTGGGGCCACAGAGCTTGTCAGAGCTGAGCAATACAGGGGGTGCTTTCCGGGGTCCATGCTGGTAGGACAAGGATGGGTAGACAGGGGAGACTCTGAGCCCCAACCCGAGCTCCAGCTCCGGGGCTGTGTGGGTGCAGACTTGTGCCAACTGGACCCAGGAAGTCTCCTTGTCCCAATTCCAAGGAGCTGACTGGACCCTGAGGTGGTCACCTGCCTGGGTCCTGGCCCCACCCACCCTCAGCCGTTCCACAGGGCTTGACGGGATTGGGCTCCTGGGATGAGTTCAGATGCAGAAGGGCTCAGTGCCAGCCTCCCTGCTGCTGGCCGACGCCTCTCTTGGGGACAAACCCTGGGAAAGGGCCGCACCAGGCCCAGAGGGCACAGTGGCACATCCCGGGCCCCATGTCATTGTGGTTATCACTGCAGCCACTGGGACCATAAACAACTCAATCGCAATCCTGCTGACCACAGGAAGCTGGGAACAGGAAACCCAGCGGCCCCCCAGACCCCCACCCCTGCAGCGGCAACGCCAGCTGACTCCGACCAGCCCTGCACCGCCCCCAACAGGGCCTGCTCGCCCAGACACCCACTAGTTTCCTTGCCCCTCAGATGTGCGCCGGCCAGCCTCCCCTCACTTGGAAGTGAGAGGGTTGAACTCCCGTGAGCTGAAAAACCTCTGAGCCGGCCTCCTGTCCTTTCCCATGTAGGGAAACTGGGAGGTTGAGCGGTTTCCTAGGGTCTCCCAGCTAGTTAGGTCAGGGCCGGTTCTCAAGGAGGCCACGGGCAGGCAGGGGATGTGAGGTAGAGAGCCAGCAAACAAGGTGGTGTTTCACGACACAGGAGGTCTAGCTGAAGAGAGGCCAGGTGTGGCCCTGGCTAAGGAGGGGGCGAGCAGGCAGGTCCATGAGCCCTCGTGGCCAGGAAGGCTTATTGGTGGAGGTGGGCCTGGCTTTGGCCTGGGAGAACGGTGCCTGGCTTGTCTCTGCAGCGGGCGTCCTCCCCCAGGTCGCGGTGAGGTTGGCTGACCAGCCTGGGCCTCCTCAGATGGCTGCTACCCAGGCCTCCAAGCTGGACCCTTGAGTATTGTCATCCCAGACAGTTCCCTTCCTCGCCCCTCAGAGCCATCCCCACACAGCTCCCTGTGCCTCACAGATCCACTCCCCACTGAGTTCGTGTCTGTCATGTCCTGCTGTGGCCTCCCTGGCTCCAGCCTCTCCCCTCACCCACCAGTTGTCCATGTTGTCTGTTATTTCTGTAAGCACTGCTGGCATCCATTTGGTGATACTTCAGGTCGATTCTGATTCTCAGCAACCCTATGGGACAGAGTGGAACTGCCCCAGAGGGTCTCCAAGTGTGTCAGTCTTCACAGAAGCAGACTGCCTCACCTTTCTCCCACGGAGTGGCTAGGGGGTTTGAACTGCTGACCTTTTGGTTAGCAGCCAAGTGCTTTAACCACTGGGTCACCAGCATTCCTTATGAGGTACATGCATAATCCCCCTTCCTTGTATGGGCCTTGTCAGGAGTCGATGTCAGTTTTATGTGGACCTCGTAGAAAGAGCTGAGAATATTCCCTCTTTGTTCTTTATTCTGGAATATTTTCTGTAAAATTATAATTTTTTTTTTTTTCCTCGACTGGTGGAACTTGAAGATACAGCTGTCTAGTCCTGGTGTTTTCTCTGTGGGAAGATCTTTAACCACTGATTCAATGGCTTTTGTGGCTATACAACTATTGAGGTTTTCTATTTCTTCTTATGTCAGTTTTGTTTTTTATTTTCTGGGAATTTGTACATTTCACTTTCATTTTCCAGTGTACTGGCGTTTATTGTCATTTTAGGGTCTGTAAGCATCTACAGTTAGTCCCCCTTTTATTCCCAATTTTATTTCTTTTTGTCTTCATTTTTTCCCACTGGTCAAATTTGCCAGATTGTTGCCAATTTTGTTAATATTTTCAACCAACTTTTGATATTTTTGATCCTCAGTATTGTAGGTTTCATTTTATTCCATTTATTGTCTTCCTTTTATTTTCTTGGCCTTAATACATCGTTTCTTCTGTAACTTTTTGTGTTGGATAATTTTTAATTTTCAGTCTTTCTTGTTTTCTAAGGTCTGCATTTAACTCTAAATACCACTCTGACGGAATCTCCTAAGTTTTGATATGTAGCATTTAATTTTAACTTTTATTCTTGTATATATTCCTCTAGGAGCTCTGGTAGCATACTGCCTAAGGCACTTGACTGCTAACCAGAAGGCTGGTGGTTCAAACCCACCAGCCACTCCTCGGAAGGAAGGTTGGGCAATGTACTTCCCTGGTGATACCACCTTGGAAACCCAAGGAGGGGTCGCCATGAGTCAGGTCCAACTCGCGGCACACAACAACAACAACATACTCTTCCTGATATCTCCTGTGACCTCTTATTTGTCACAGTGGGATTGTCATTACTGTTTGACTTATCATAGGACTTCCTAGCATTGCTGCTCTGTTGTCAGAGAACGTGCTCTGTATCACATTCGAGATTTGTTTTGGGGCATCATATGTGGTGCAATGACTTTAAGACAATGTGTATTCTCAAGTTGTTAGTAGAGTGCTAGCGTTATGTCCAGAAGATCAAGCTTGTTAATTATTTTGTTCAGTTCTTCTGTATCAT